CCTCAGTTGATACTCGCTCAGTTAGTAAAATAGTTGTGAACTCCTCTTTAGTGGTAGCAGGAGTTGATGATTCATCATCAGTAACTATTATGGTGGTGGTGCCATCAGTTGCTGTAGCCTCAGTAGTTACTCCCTCAGTTAGTGAAATAGTTGAGTACTCATCTTTAGTGGTTGCAGGAGTAGACAATTCGTCTTCAGTAACAATAATGGTGTTGATGCCATCAGTTGATGTAGCCTCGGTAGTTACTCTCTCAGTTAGTGAAATAGTTGAGTACTCATCTTTAGTGGTAGCAGGAGTAGATAGTTTGTGTTCAGTAAATATGATGGTGGTGATGCCATCAGTTGATGTAGCCTCAGTAGTTACTCCCTCAGTTAGTGAAATAGTTGAGTACTCATCTTTAGTGGTAGCAACAGTAGACAATTTGTCTTCAGTATATATGATGGTAGTGATGCCATCAATTGATGTAGCCTCAGTAGATGCTCCCTGAGTTAGTGCAATAGAAGGTATCTCATCTTTAGTGGTAGCAGGAGTAGATGATTCGTCATCACCAACTCTGGTGGTGGTGGTGGTGCTGGTTGTGGTGATACTATCAGTTGCTGTGTCCTCAGTTGATAATCCTTCAGTTACTGTAATATTTGTATATTTATCTTGAGTGGTAGCAGCAGTTGAGAATTCGTCGTCAGTAACTATGATGGTGATGGCTGTTGCCTCAGTAGATACCCCCTCAGTTACTGAAATAGTTCTGAGATCTTCTCTAGTGGTAGCAGGAGTAGATGATTCTCTAGTTAATATCTCTGTTGGTGTATATGTGCCTGTAAATGAAAAATACATAAAAATGAGTTTTACTGTAGTAATTCTTTTAGAGAGGAATTTTAATAGACTTTTCACTGTGAATAATGATAGAAAATGGTCAATTGAAATTGATGAAATTCCCGTGTTGATAATCTTCATCACCATATCTTGTCAGATTATATGAAGATAATCTCGGTTTTAGTATCCCTCTTTGGCAATTCGATAATGCGCCATTTTGTTTAATGCTCATGGATATATGGAAGGATCACTGTGATTTGATTCTTTCAATAACAGACATGTATTTTACCAAAGTCAAATTTGCGAGGTCTTGGCAGAATCACGCACGCGTTCGTTGGAAGTACGTTTACATAGAATGTACATATTGATATACATATTAATAAAATATGGTCAATTTCCTGTCTATATTCTTTCTTTGACTAATTAACTTATATGGCGCTGGTCATGGTGGTGCGTTCGAACTTCGTGTAAACAAGCGATGTGTTAAATGCGTTGTATACGTCGCATGAGACCCATACTAACACGACGCGTCATGGATCTGTGAATTTACCAGTGCTACTGAGGGAGGGGGGGGGGTCGATTCAATGTGTCCCCTGCAACGAACACATTTCATGTAAAATTGTTTGCTTAGGAGACATTCTAACACGTGCGATACAGCCTTTAATTGTTATTATAAAGTGTATATTACAAGTTTATGTTCAAATATGGGATTTTCAGGCGATATCTCATGAATATTCATGACTCCACAATACAATTTTATACAATTCATAGAGCGTAAAGCAAGGCTGACACTTGCACGACTTTTGGCCACGAGTCGTGCCATTTTTTGGGCACGAACGGCACTGTTCACGACTAGTTCACGCATAGTTCACGACGAGTTCACGAGCAGTTTGCGCATAGTTCACGAGCCGCTCGCTAAATTTTGTCGTGACCCAAATTTTGAGCATTTCAATCCCGATATGGCACGCAGTCACGACAGGTTTACGCCCTGGGTTTACGCACACTTCACGTCGGTTTCCGATTTGTTCGTGCACTGAGTCGTGCCAATGTGTGCCACAGAATCGTGCAAGTGTCAGCCTTTAGAGCTCTCTGATTTGCTGTTACGTCCAAGCGTTTAACCAACTTCTTTATTCTTGGAGTAATGAATACATTTACGGTTTTGGACTTGTGTATGAAACAGACATGAATGAACAAATCTGCGTATTAGGTTCGGAATTATAAATAGCACGTTTCTCACATATGAGTTGTTTTATTACACATACAGATTCTAGTTGGTAGTGTGCTGCTGGAAGTATTATTCGAATTAATAACGTTCCTAACAATCCTCTGAGAGATATAGTGCAATATTACCGTCGTATTAAGATGTTGTCGTGTATCGAGATCGCTCGCCACGAGGGCAAAAGTTTAATTATATGGACCAATCAGATTGCGGGATTGTTATTGCATGTCGTAAAGGTAGTATTACACGGAGTTGCTATTGGGAATGGAATAAGATAATGTCTTCGGTTAAAAACCTCAGAATGGATTCTGAAAGATAATGTCTTCGGTTAAAAACCTCAGAATGGATTCTGAAAAGCTTAGGACAGGACATTTGTTTTACAACTAAAATATGGTTGACAGAAAACGGTTGACACCATTGTGGTGATTAAACGGCTGATGCATTGTGAAAACGAATTTAATTATTATGATACACAATCTAACGCTACGTTAATCTAACAAATGTGCATGCCTAACTTATTGGTAAAGTTCATAAAGAGCTTGCATATTTTTCCATAAGTGAAAAAACAATGCACAGCTCATTGGCATCGGCTAGGAGTTCACAAACTTAAAAGGCTTTGGTCGTCGCGCGGCGTGCTGTTCGATATGGGATTCATAGCCACGCACACAACGCGTCTAAAATACATTGTTTGTTTACATGAAATTCGAAGACGCGCTGCGTGACAACCACCGCCCTTTAAGCCCGTGCTAAGAATACGGACCCGTTTTTTAAACCCCGGTCCAGGCCTCGCCTTTGCCACTGACTAACTGGCAGAGTGTGTGCAAACGCTTAGCTCGGGCTGTGGTAACTCTAGGAATGGGAATATCACGAACGTAATCAAATACATGTTTATACAACTCCCGGCTACAACTTTTTATTTCCAAAATGGCAACCGAACTTAGTGTACATCCCTGGGCACACAGACAATTGCAACAGGAATTTAGGGTTTTACTAGCAAAGGTTACCGACTGAAGGCGCCCCCAGCCCGTTATTTGTGCTCGCCCTTCCTTTGCGTTAGCGCAATTAGGTCTAGCCAATATGCAAACATATAAGTATGGTCGTTTGCGTGGATTACAAATGATTATACACAGTATCTTGTAATAAAGATACACCAACGCGTAAGTGAAATGAATAGAATGGTTAATTGCATTCTTCGGTCTGCTAATTAACTAAAATCTACAGAATGTTACAAAGAACCGGTCTTTTTAAACGCTGCTGGCGGATTGTCGTCTTATTTTGTTTTACTTAGTGTACAAACGCATAAACAGGTCGAGTCATGCGCTAGTCTACAAAGGAATCGAGTTTAATTCATTTGTCGTGTGTATTTTCACACACATTCCATGTCGTGTTGGTAACCCTGTTTGATCAATTGGCAGGATATCGCAAACAAAATTCAAAATCCTCGGTTTTGTCCAGCGACCAATCGTCTTGCATACTAGTATTATTAAGATAATGCCTTTGTGTTAAGGTAGAAGTCTAGTCATATTTTTTTGCCAAAATTGATCATAAATCGCATGACAATGTTCATTAGTTTATTATGTACAATCATGAAGTTAATGTCCCAGGGTACAACGAAATAGCATTATTTTGTGTGTTGCAGTTAAGCTTTTTGAGAAACGTGTCCTAATAGTTTTTTGAAAATTGCTATTTTTAGAACAATTCCATAGAACACAATGTTAAAGAAAAATTGCATTTTTGACACTTTTTAAAACCCAGATTTTTTAAATAATTCAGAACAACAAAAAGTACTCCATCATTAACAATATATGATTTTTTCAGCCTATGTCACCAGGCTAGATTTTGAGATATTGCATAATATCTCTGCCATAGGAACCTGTGGTAAAAGTGTTATAATAGTGTCAAAATGGCGACTTTCCACTAAAATACAACCATCAATTGCTCGATAAAAAGGCTGGTGACCTTGGAGTACATTTTATTGCAAAATGAATAAATTCTAGGTTTTTAAATTTATAAGTAGGCTTCTACCTTAACAAGTTGTGATTATTTCACCATTAACGTTTATTAAAGCGATACAATCGTCCCTCAGCATTGGTCTTCGATACCGACGTATACAACGCGTGTAATACACACTATTTCGAACAAGCGCTGTGCGACGATTAAGTCCTTTAATAATATTATTGCTCTGAATGACAAACAACGATTACATTCACATTTCCTAACAATGCAATAATAATTCATTTTATACAAACATTTTTGTTTTTCATACTCACTTATTTATTACCCAAGTGCGTCATGGATTCGAGTATGTTGGTCTTTTAGTCTATGGTTTTATTGTTGCCAGTGTATGTGCAAGGAATGATTGGTAATTCAATTCGACAAAAACGTTTTTCCCACGATTTTATTAGCATTAGGACGCTTACACATACATTCTATGACAACTGTGTGATTCTCGTCAATTAACACAGAGCAGTTAAATAACGCGACCTGTTCGATATGGGTCCCATGCGATATATACAACGCGCCGTGTAACATACATTGCTCACATGGAATTCGAACGCGCACTACTAACACGACTGGCGCATACACAGGTTGTCATTAGTGTACACCTAGTAAGCTTTCACTAAAGCTACATATTTAATTGTAATTAATACATCTATACAATTATGCTATGTCTATATGAACCTTGTGGGTTATTTTAAGGTCAAATTATAAATTTAATACGCGAACTAAACGCATTATACCAACAACCGTATATCAGTGTAATAAGCTAAATTAAGCCAATACACTAGCTGACATTTGATTCTTTATGCAACAAAGTCGGGTGGGCAACATGTAGTGGTTAGTTGATGTGAATTTAATCATGGGAAATTTTAATCTAGTTTCCTGATGTATATACAGAACAGCCAAGGTAATAAATACCGTAAGGTAACATTGGCGGATCTAGGGGGTTCTTGGGGTCCGAACCCCCCCTCCCGTTGAAAAAAATATTCAATTTGTTTTTGTATAATATAAAAAAAATCATTAACTTAGTTTATATTTCATTTTAAAGTTTGGAACCCCCCCCTCCCCATAAAAAATCCTGTATCCGCCCATGGGTAATGTGTTAACTGTGATGCTGTTTTCTCTATATATAGGGATTGAATGAAACGTTGCACATATTTACAATTAAAGATTTCGGCATGTACTTGTTATATTGAATTTGATGCTAATTCGTGAGTTGGAAATCATTGTATTCATCAAGAACAAAACAATAGGCGTGCAGAGAATAACAGAATTTGAATTTCTAGGTGTCTTTTGCATTTACACGCTACGCCATAGTACGACTCTATTAAACTGTGTAACTACCGAAGCACGGGTTCTACACAACATACACATTACCTATAGGAAATACCAACGGTACGCGTGCTCCCACGTGGTGGGCATGTATGTGACAAAATAAATAGATTCCCAAATTAAAAAAAGAAATTAGACAGATAATTAGACAGATTTCACAAAGATAGTGGATAAGGAAAATTACAGTCAGATCGTTGCCGATGCTTGTTTATGATTTAATATCAATGAATCCAGTACCAATACTGTATTTTTGTTGAAGTCAAAACAGTCGTCGTCCTGACTGTCGGTCGGGAATAGGTTTGATGACTTGTGGTAATATGAAAGCCAAGCGTGATTTAACGTCGCGTCGATTCTATGATCCTGGTAGGTCATTGACCTATATATGATTTTAGAGTAATATTCTAGCCTATGGGTTCTGTCCCAGTATAAACTGATTAGTACTATGATTTAAATAAAATTCCAATACGCAAGGGGAACGCGAAGAATTGCTATACAATGGGAAATATTTGTAACGCCTAGCAAAACGCCGTCGATGGTCGTTAGTCCCAGTCTAATTCGGATACGCCCCGTTCTTCCGGCAACCACGGAGCAGGTGCATTTAAGACTGTTTTTATAATAATTTATATAATTATCGACAGGTATGTTATTGAAAAAAAAAATATGACAGTGATGTGATTTTAAAAACAACTCAGCTCAAGCGTCGATTTGTTGAGTGCACAGTACAATCCTACCTGTAATTGCCGGTACCATCGTAAACGCCGAGATCAGTAATATCCTTAATAAAATGGTGTATAATTTCAAAGCCAGCATTTTTGCCATGTGGCATCCTTGCGATGCGAACATTGGTGTTCTCCACTACATAAAATCCGTGTAAATCCCGCGTTAAAATCACAGTCTCTGGCATAGATCGATATTCAGCAGCGTTTGAAGCGCATTGTGTTTGTGTCCCGCATTCCAAGATGTGACCACTGCGCGTCTTGGCGCTTAACACCTATTTACTTCGTGTGTATTATTTCTTAATTGCGCTACTGTTGAAAACACCACGTTCTGCCGAGTGTGGGTGTGAACTTGGTGAAGTCACCATACTATCTTGTCGACATAAGCCACTATCGGTACGCGACGCGATGTATAGCCAAGATAAAACTACCCCGGAAAACTGCGTTGACGTAATCGGGTCTGCGCATGCTATAACACTAAATGTAATTACGGGACTTGCTCATTCGTTTTTGATTCCTGACTCACCAACCTGTCTGATTCTTATGTAAATGAGGTGGATGAGAACTAATCATTTAGACAATGACCCGTCCTTCGCTTTGGGCGTGAACAATTCCCGCGAAAATTTATTTTCACTTACTTGTCTTTGGTGTAAATCTCATTGCGTCACTGAAATTTCTTAGCGAATCAACCTCCCGGAACTTATACAACGATCATGCAATCTTTGTTCTCCTCAAGCGATATAGTCGTCGATGTGAGACCCATGCTACGTATACAAAGCGTGTGAAATACGAACGCTTACACTGTTCTTAATTTCAGTCGTACAGACTTATTGTTTTATTTTCTTTCGATTTTGGATGACACATTCACTCCATTGTGATATATCGCGAACCAGAAACATTGTTTTGGAGAACACACAACAGGATTTATTCGATCACATAATGAATTCCGCAAATGTGCAGTCAGTCAATAGTACGTCCTAGTAATTCAGAGCGCATGCGTATTTGATACTCCGAATATATGCTTTTTTGTTTGTTATTTAACATACTAATTAATTCGAAAGAATACTGTTGCTGGACTGGAAACATTTTTCTTTTTATAACACGTAATGTAAAGCGGATATTAAACAAAAATACTCCACATTAAATCTGTAAGTCAAAGAGGTCAACTATGCATCAACAAAATTACCGATGGTGAAATGGCGTGGCCACCTATATCGTAGACAATGATAATACACGCGATGTGCACAACGTTAAAATACCTTGTTCGTTAATACATGACATGTAAATGTGCGATGAATGACTTACTTGTTTACGAATATATTCATAGATACACTAAGCATTTTGCAAAAAATTCGTCACATCAACCGACAGTCTATGGTCATTCTACATTTAACCGCCCCAAATGTATAAAAAAAGACACATCCCAGGATTGTTGAATGGGCACGTTACTTTTAAGTCGCGCCCTCTACGGGAAATCAGCAATGTAATTTCCCAATGAAAACACGTTCTTCCAATTTGTATTAGTCTTTTTTGTTATTTATTTGTCGAAGCCATCCACTCAGCTTTTAAAATTGTTAATGAGCGGAAATCGGTTCACGGTGTAGCAATTGATTGTAGAAGACGTCTGTGTCTGTGCAAAGTACATAGATATATATAGAGAAAAGATAATATACTCAAAATCAGGAATTCCAAGAGTAACCCAGATTTTCATCTTTATATTAAGTACTTCTTCACCAGTAATATTGATTTACAAGCAAGTAATAGACGATGCACGCAGGATAAATAGAAAGACATATGTGTGACTCGAACCGTAAAACACGTAAAACATTAGCTACAGGACAAGGTGTAAATGTTGGTATTTACTATGTATTCCACACAATAGCGAAGCTTCTAAAACTTCTAAAGCTTCTTAATCATTGCCGACAGTTCAACATTACAAGCACCAATGAAAAGTATCCTATTTTATACACAAATACACAACAAAAAATGAATCTAAACACATAAAGCACTAGAGAATATTACAGAGACAAACACAGATTAAATAAGAAAACTTTCTTTTTGTCCTTTTTTCGGATTCGCCACGTTCAAGTTGTTTGAAATGGTGTGGCAGTTTTCACTCAATATAAAATAATTAGAATATGGCAATTTAATAACTAAATGGTTCGCGTTCGTTCTCGATATATTATATTCTGGTGAAAGAATCAACTCTACTCTCTAGTAAGTTATTCCTAACACGGTTGAGCCACACCCACTGAAAACTTTAATATGCCCACACTCAATAAAAGTAGGTTACTAGTATTGTTTGAACAGCAGGCAGAAATTACAGAGAGTCAATTCCGTATTTTTTATTTTGCCAGTCAACTGTATCGTGTGACATCTATGATTAAATGTTGAAATGAAATGCTTTCAACTTATTTATTATGATATCTTCCACTGCATGTGAATAGCACTGACAATTAAATTGGCGGCAATGGAATCGTCTCTAATAGGTTTTAAATGACACAGAATTCCCCCACAGTAATGAGTTTTCCATTGAAATTAATTAAACCATCGTCCGTTTCGCCAGACTAGCGCCATGATTGTCGGCAACAGTTACTGCGCCATCACTGGCGCAAATGCCAGAGTAACTCACTAATTTGCTCTCCTGTGTTCCAATCTGATTTGTTTTCATTCTCGCTTTAATTGATTAATTATGACATGTCCTTTAAATGGCGACAGTCGTCGCGCTGCGAATGTGTGACATTAATATTTGTGTTGATAAACATTGATTTTCCCACAATCCAAAGCGCTCTTGTAATGGAAATCACGAGTATGAGGTTTGACCTGGGCACGACTTGCACTAATTACCGCCGGCGACTCTTTCGATACCTTCTGATAATCTAATGACAGCTTGGTAACGTCACAGTTTGTACTCGTTGATCCGCGGAACAGTCAAAGTCGCCATCTTTTTTCAAAATGAAACCCATATATCTCACGCATGCGTGGCGTGACGACTACCGCCCTTTAAAGTTCATGGAATATTGATAGTGTCAACATGTTTAGATCCATCATCCATAACACGTTTTTCTGTAACTGTCTAAATGTGTCTACTGCCACGCTACAATTCAGTATAACAGAAATCTGTTTTTAGGTTATCAAAAGAGCCGAAGAGGATGATTGATAGCGCCATCAACGATACGATCTCATCAGATTTTGTTTTTATAAAGCTCAAGTGTGCACGTGTGTTTATATAGTCAGCGTACTATGTCGCCACCAACGATTCAATATGTAGTACATGTACTAGTACATGATTTATTCCTGGGCATTCTGACTCCTCTCCACTTCCCTGGTGTATATCTGGTGTATAATACAATATGCAATATATCATGTATATTGGTAGGGTCATCAAAGCGATGTATCTGTTTGGCCGATAGGTTATTCGCGGGTGAGGATAACGAGTAAAATATTGTGGATAATGGACTTGATTACTGACAATGCCTTGTGCAAATTTCACACGGAAGTTCAGCATTGTGCTCTCGCAATCGCGGACTTAGTGGTTTTGTGGTCACGTGGTAATTACGTAAACATTGACTCTCCCTGGACTCTCCAGTTTGTGCGAACTTGTTCCTCTATACTTAGGCTTTTGAAATATATACGCTAAATTACGGTTCTGGATGAGACAATAGACGGAGAATGCTTTAATCAAAAACGTCATCAAACCCTTGTGGCTACCTTAATCGAGAATGAAAACAAAACAGATTGGAACACACGAGAGTAAATTATATATTATATATTAATATATATAACGTACATGTATGTTCGGCGTGAGTTAATCACAGCCTTTGCGTTCGATTAACTGTCGCCGACAATCATGTATAGTAGTCCATGGATGCTTACTGTATTCTCAAACAACTAATTTATTAGTTGTTTGAGTTGTCTTTGAACATCCTGAATGATCGTGGAATGTCGACGGCACTTCCGGTAATTCTCGGGATTGTGTCGTATTTCTCAATAACTGTCACGTTTTTTTCCTTTTCATTTTTTTTTGCTTATCGTACAAATTTAGTTTATTGTACTAAATAAAATAATAATAATATTGGAAAATGTTTCTAAAATAATAGTGCACAAATAATGTTGATTACCCATTTACGGAACAGGTAGTAAATGCTTTCGGCCAACTGTCGAAACATTTGATTTCCATTTGCAAATTAGTTTGAAAATAATTGTTGGGAATGTTTACGATAAAAATGTGCGTAAGCAAAATAGTACATATTTCTTCCGGACAACAACCCTAGTCGTTTTTTCCCGACTGATTTTGACACTCATTTGACCGCCTAAGGCATTGTTTACTCAATTGGCTGAAATCCTCTGGCGTAACGACGGTCGTGATATTAAAAAAAATAGAAGCTAAGTAAAATATCATTTGCAAACTCGGAACTCAAATATATTTTTTTAAATCCCCCTTCTCCCCAATGATTTCCAGTGCAAATTTTTATTTTAAAAATCCTCCAGGAATTTGTAATAGTCAGTCCCTTACAGGAGTCAACTCTGCCCAACCGGAAATGAACCGAATTAGCCATCATAGGTCAGTAGGTTCACGGGTTAGCGTAATATTGGTTGGGAAGAGAACTGATTGACTGTCCCTCATCACCGCAAACTACTGCACGACAGGTCATACGACCCAGGTATAGTACAATCTGCTTATAATCTGGTGTAATACGATCGCTCCGTACCGTCGGCTATGGACCGACGGGTGGTTATAAATCGGTTGGCGGTCAGAAACCACTGGCAGTGGGCGGCGATGTTAAATAACACGGGTGGGTGGCCGTCACAATCGACGGGCAGCCATAAACGGACGGGCGACCAACACGACCTGCATCTGATTAGTCTTTTAGAATATTACTATATTTTCATCTATATTTACAGCTGGTTAATCAGTTATCTTAAATTTTCCTTTATATATTACAATTCAATTTCTTTTTCTTTTTTTCTTTTGGCTTCATTTAAATTGTCATTTTCATTTCATTATTTTTGTTTCAGAAAATTAGACTCAATGTATGAATTAAAAGAATCACTAATCTCACTGTTATTATGTATGCTTTTACTTGAGAATACGAACAGGAAGTATGCATGCATGCTTTCCTACACAATGAACAGCGTCGTTGTCATGACAATTGTTACGTGGTTCGGAGAACCCGTAATTTGTGTTACTGGTCACAGAAGACTACTGTCAATCACCGTCATTCAGCCGCGAA